ACAAATTCCTACAAGCTGTTATCAGTAACTGCATAAGTTTGGTCTCAAGTGTTGAGGTGTTACAAGATAGAGTAAAGCATTTCAAGGCAGATGGACAACACTGCGTCAAAGCTGGATGCCTTGAAAAGAACTTTCAAATAGATGCTAGTAGGGCAAAGCTTGGTTCAGGACTGTCAAATCTTGTTCAGACCTCTGAAAACATGAATGGCTCCAGGCAAGCTCCTCAGCCAGCTGCCAATATCTAATAGTTTTTCAGACCAGCATCCCCTTCCATCACCCCAATGGATTTTAACAAATGACCTGAACACGCTCTCAGGGAAGCTGCTGTCTATGCCTCTGACTGGACATTTTGTACCTGCATGTGTCCTGGACCAGAGAGAGATCTTACAATCCAGCAGCTCTCTATTCAGAGCCCCTGCATCACAGATAAACCTCTGCCCATCCTTATAGCAACTTACTACTCTGCTCTACAATGTGATCTTCTTTAAACACTCCACTGGTGTCTGCCAGAAGTGCAACTTGATATGAAACCCACAAGTGCCAGACAGCTCCTTCATCTCTCCATGACAAATAAATCTTCATGATAAATCCATGCTCTCCAATGTCACCTCTTATATATAGACAATCAAAAAAGCTAAGGTACAGAAGTGTGAAGACAAGGCATATGAGTCAAATTATATTTAACCTCTGGTTTAGTGATTCTATCCATCAGAAATAGTTTGTTACATTTTTAACTTTACTCCCTGATTCACGTTAAGAATTTTTTTTAAGTATTTCTGGACTGCACTGAACTCTTCCCCTCCAAGATGCAGCCATTCTTATCCTCAGGAATAAACCTTTAGGTTATTTTTCCTCATGACTAAAATGAACTTAGCCCTGAGGCAGGAGCTCAGAGGCTCTCTGCTCAATCTGACAAACTCATATCTCAGCCTGGGAAGATACTGAACAGATGGGCATCTCATGGCGGAGGATTTAAGCCAGACTGGATCCAGCCAAATTCAGCAGGACCTCAGACAGTTTCCAAAGCCAGGGACTGCATCTCTGCATACTCCAGGATACATAAAGATACAAAAAGCACATCGGTCACTGAGTTAATAGCAGGATTTCTGGCTGCACATTCTGCTCACAGCACACCTGGGCAGCACCAACTAGAGACTGATGTGGTGCTCAGCAAGGGATTGCAATATTCAATTTTGCCATCTCAACAGTGTCTCTTGTTCCTAGTAACGAGGCAGTTGCAAGATGGAATTGCTGCAGGAAGTCTTGGGCTCTGTGCTGCCTAGGAAAGATGCTGCCTCGATAATAACCAAATCAAACCACGAGCCCAGAGTCATTGGAAATATTCATCCTGCTGCAATATGCCTTAAAAATGACTGACTTTAAGTTGCTTTCCTCCAGTCTGAGGAATGACTGGAAAAAGTGCAGAAGACAGCTAAAGCAAGACAAGAAAGGAACCTGCTCCTCCGGCTCATGCTCCACTGGGACAAGGACCCAACAGAAGGAGTGGAGATAGCAGAGGAAAGTAACCCCTCAGCAAAAGGAGCACTGGACTGAGCAGATGCATTAATACTGCATCCAGCAGTGAGAGGATGACAGGGGCTGGCAGCACCCAGGACCACTCCTGGGAACATGGCAGGGCTTGAACTTTGTTGCCAACAGCTGCACTCTCGTGGAGAAAGAAAATGGCACCAATTATCAGTTACTGATCTCAGGCTGCACTCAAACCACTCGAAACTGGTTCATCAGTAACCTCTTCTGTGATACCTACAGGAACAGCAAGCAAACAGGCCGCAGGAAAGCAGATACCTGCTAATGAGACAGCCATCTCGTTCCCTCTCTTTGATTACCTCCTAAACTCAGTCAAGAGATAGTATGCTTTATTTTTGTCTCCCCTACCGAATCAGCATCTCCAATTCCCAGAGGCTTTTCTGCTGCTAGTAGTACACACACCAAGAGCCAGCTTCACCATGGCTAAGCAGGACTGGAGGCCAAAACACTCCCCCATTTGCTTGGCCCTTTCCCACAGCCCTTGCGGCTCCCAACTCACTCTCTTCAGCTGCTGCCTGTGCTTTTGAACACATCTCCCTACAGTGAGTCCTTGGCAGATCTTGTGACCATAAGGTACCAATGTGCTTCCCACAGGATTGTTTCAGCTCGGAACAATCCTAGCCTGTATCTGTCAAGTGTGTAGGGGAGGGACCTTTCATGCATCTTTCCCCAAAAGATGTTGACACATTTGTGAAATGTAAAGCCATGGAAGCCTCAGAAAATTGTCTGCCAAGGGGGATACAGTTAGCCCTGGTGTGACCAAGAAGAAAAAAGCATATGAGCTGCTTAGCACAGAAAGCTAAACAATCTCCTGACTTTAAAAGCCAAACCCTAAAAACCGGAATAGTTTTCAAGCTCGTTAAATTGAACATGTTTTGCCTTAATAGAGCTTCACAACAGGTCTTAACAGTCTCACACACTGATAGGTCACCATTCATAAAGAGAAAGTAAATTCACAACCAGAAGCAGCACTTGCTCCCAACACATTGTCTTGCTTTGCAAGTTGGATTTCAGGGACCCACTCACAGGAACTGGATCTCAAGGGCAATATTCCCAGAAACACGCACTCAGGAGAGAAATGGAAAATAAGTTATGAAGGAACCAATTTTCCAGGACCGTGTCTATTTTAGTGCGCTTCGCACACAAGTGCACAATGCTGACGCTAAGCGGGGAAAAGCAGGTCCTGTCCTCACCAACACCCACATGCACAACAAAGGCTACTCAATGATTTTCCCATTTCTTTTTAGCCGTGCCTTATCTTGGAGCAGCTGAGGGAGGCGTTGCAGGTAGCGAGAGGAGGGGATGGGTGACCAAGCTTCAATTCTGATCTCAAAGTCAGAAATAACCTTTCTGGATGTTCCTGTGCCAAAGTAACACCAGCGTCTGCTTAAACCCCCTCACAACTGTGGCCCCCAAACCTTCAGCCTTGCTCCCTGACAGAAATGAGGGAGCTCCAGCCCCTGACAAGGGAATGGGTCTGCACAAAGGAGGGTTTTGATCAGCCTGTCTCTGCTATCAACAGACCCACAGCAAACTCCGGCTCACTCACAGCCTTGCATTGCCCTGCCCCATCATTTCCAAGATCATCACACTGGAGAACAAAATCAGGCACTGCTTCTCACCGAGACAAGCATACAGGCTGACAGGATTCCTGCAGCACAAACTCCAACTCCACATTCATGCATACAGCAGCAGCTGCACTGCTCAGCCTTACTGAGGCAAACACTTTGGATCCCCTGCTGCCAGGAGTTTACTCAAGGCTGTGAGGGCTGCTCACTGGCTTAAGTAAAAACTAAACACAAGTACTTACATGGCTGCAAACTTCATCCTAAACCACGGGAGCACGTGGCGGGCGAGGCTGAACCAGAGAGGATGCTATGAGTCATGTTGGTGCAGCATACCCTTCCTCCCTCTCGAGATGTTCAGAACAGGCCATTTAGAACAGGAACAAGGAAAGCAGTAACATGGAAGATCGATTTTAAATCAAGTCCTCCTTCCCTTCATGCTGAGTCCCAGGCAGGCAGCTTGCATGCTCCCCTTGCTGAATAACCTGTTTCCCCAGCAGAGAATTGGCACTATTACACAGCATTTATGGCCACAAACACAGGCTGCAAGGGCCAACTTTTGAGCCAGCCCTCAGCCCTACTGCAGCTGCTTTTGCTTCTCTGACAAGAGACAAAGAGGTTTACTAACCTCCTCCCTCCTATCAAACAACTGGCACCTGCAATTCATGGAGAACAGCTGGAAGAGGTTGGGCCCAAACACAAGGAAAGGGGGGAAGGAAGGGAGCAGAGCATCTTTGGTAAGGAACCTCCTTCCTTCCCAAAACACAAGGCTCCCAAACAGCAAACGGTACCTTCTCTGTCCAGCCACTCTCTCCTTAGCCCCAGGAGTGGTCACAGTCCATGAGGTTTTGCTCCTGAGGGCATTTTTAGCCAAAAGACCAATAATGATCATATAAAAGAAAAAAATTTTTAAAAAAATCAACTCCAGTAGAAAAATAATTTAATAAAGGGATAAGTTTCAAGAAAATATCTGTATAGTAACAACATTTTAAGTAAAATGTCCACAAAAATATACATGTCTACTGTGATTATACATTAAGTTTTCCGACAGGTCCTGTTTCACACTTGGTTCAGTCCATCTAGGAAAAGCCTTACTGCTAGCAGACTTCCTGGGATAGATCAGTTTGCACAACAGAATCATATGATAAATGTTTTCTAACTCATTTTAGGCTCATACAAATAAACTTTGGAGTTCATAACAGTCCACAAGAGATCAGGTTATACCGTATCATTAAAAATTTAAAAAAAAAGTAAATACAAACAAGGAAAGCAAAAGTCAGCCACCCAAGGGACACTGTCAGGCAGAAACAGCAGCCTACAATACACACCACACAACACTGACACAGCTGGAAAAGGAAGGGGATGAAGGGAGGATGGGCAAGAAGGAGGGGAAAATTTCAGGAAGAGGATTCCCAGGAACTGTGGAACTGCTAAACGAGGGGGCTATAGAGAGGCAGGGGAAAAGCATACATGTGACCAACATTTCTAGAAACCAGACAATTTTTTAACATAGAAGATAAGCTAATTACAGGAATATGGAAAGGAATCAGTGGAGAATGTTTATTTCTTATTTTTCCAAATGGCTACTGAGCTGTAGAAATAACAGGTCTGTCCCAAAGAGCCCTAACCAATAGTGCCAATTCAGCCAAACAGAAGAGAAAAATCCGGTTACAGAAATCGAAGATGCAAGAGTACAGTAAAAAGTAAAGAAAACATGTTCCACCACCAGAGGACAGGGACGAAACACTAAAGAGGAGATGCCAAACAAGAGATACCAATTTTGTCAAAGAAGATGTACAATGCCACAAAAAATAAACCAAAAGGAACAAAACAAAAACCCCACCCCATAGAAAATGGAAAATTGCTAAAGAAATAAAAGGACACACATTTTCCAAAAGATTTTTTCTTTTATAATCAAATTTTTTTACATAGACAACTGAACACACCAATATTTTGTGCGAAAAATATTTTTAAATAAACTTCTCAATTTTTGTACATTCTGATATACATATGTAACAAGGTTTATGGCACTGTAACCAGGATCAAAATCATATAAAGGAACAAAATAATTGCTCTCATTTATCCTTTCTGAACCAAGCTGGCTGCTGTTGCACTATTAGACTAAAAATTATTATTAGTGGGCAGCCAACTCTAATTGGTTTGAACACTCAAATCAAAGCCCAAATTATTATTGCACAAGAAGCCAGTGAAGGCATATGGCATAGAATGATCGAAGTCCCTTACTGTTAAAACCTTACACCCCAAAATAGAAAAATAGAACTGGAACATGAAACACACCAAATAAACTTTTTTTTCTTCTTTAGTTTGAGTCAGGAGTGTGAAAAGTGCCTTGCAGACTTTTTAAGCTGCTCTGATTTCCTTTGCATTGGTGAGCATTTTGCTAGGTTATCTTTAGCAAAGCCTTTGCAGAATGAAGGCCCTTATGTTTCAGGGAGGGTTTTTTCTGCTTTGTTTTGGCTGTTTGTGTTTTGTCTTCAACTTAGGTTTCTTCAGTCTATGAACCTGCACAGACTACTTAGCCATAAACTCTACAAGTAGCTGGAGAGGTGGGAAAAATAAAAATTAAAAGAAAAAAAGCCCAATATTTCTTCTTCTTCTTCTTGTTTTGATTTTAAAAAGTACTCCTTTTGCTCTGAAGCCTCCCTGCTCTGCCGGTGTCTGAGAAGGAAATCACAACAGCATCCCAAACCCGACAAAGTTCTTGGATCTTTTAAAAACCTTTCCTTACAAAAAAGGTTTTTATTCACAAAAAGTTCGCCACAAAACCCCCCTTGAAAGCTAAAAAGAAAACCCCACAAGCCACCCATCATTGCCCCAAATCAGGTGAATAGGTTAACCCCTTCATTGACCGCCACCTCACAGCTTCGCCCGTCACACGACAGTCTCTACGCCGATCAACTTTGGTGTGAGGATTCGTGGTGTGACACCGTTGTTTAGATCTTCTTCGAACTCCAGTAACTGCCCCATAAAGTTAAGGTTAGGGGAAATGATTGGTCGTTTGCCTTTTACAAATTTATAGGCATCCGTCATGGTCATGCGTGTGTGCTTCATTAAGTAAGCGATAACTATGGTGGCAGATCGGGAGACACCAGCCTGGCAGTGGATGAGGAGACCTTTCCCACACTGATGAGCTTCCTCTAGAAACAAGAAAGACAGAAGAAATTAAGATTTTTGCCAGTTCATAAATTAGAACAAGCTCAGTGCAATTAAGAGTAACTTAATGTGAAAAGTCCCTTGATTTGATTACAAGCACAGCAGCATCTCCTCCCCCCTCCCTCCAGCCCATCTTCCTCCAACATTTTAGAGTTACTGCACGTGAAACACCCAGTCCAGTCTGACACTGAAAATCCTCATGTCCAAATCCTTATCTCTTTATTAGATGAACCACACAGTGAGAGATGCTGCTGCACTGCTCACACCGGTGCCAGGGAGCATTTATTTGGGAGGTCGAGGCCCATGATGAAGCATCAGGCTCCATTTCCACCTCTGCTGCTGCATTACATTGGCATCTCAACCTCCCTGTCTTTCAAAGTAGGGCACCACCTTTTTAACAAACAGGTATTTTCAGATTCAGTTCATAACAATATATCCAATGTTCTTGGAAGCTTTTACAAAGCTACTCTTGAAATGAGCTTCAATGGGGCACTCTGCTGTGGTGCCTCCGCAAAAGCAGGAGCTGGATAACACACACAGACACACGCTCTCCACCAAGATACATCACTTAGATGGAGGCAACCCGGGCAGGATTTAGGAAGGACAAAGTCCTTGTAACCACCTCTTAACATGACATGAGAAAGAGGAGAGTCAATACCATACCACCCTCATCTCCCACAGCTTGCTTTTGAAACAGGAGATAAAACTTTCAAGATGTGACCCTTCAATCTACTTCTTTTGTTTTAATCCACAGGACAAACGTGAATTTGGTTTGCAAGTTTTGGCATCAATCCAACCCCACCAAAAGTACAGTTCATCCCACCCCACATGTTCAACCTGTACTGTGAAAGCATAAATGAAGCCAACTTCCCTCTAGACATTTTTGGCAGTTAGTATTTCAGAAAGCTGAAACTCTCTAATGTATTTTGACACACTTTCACAGAGAGTTTCTGATGATTTCACTTCCTATGGCTTTAGTCTTAGCTAAACCTGGGGTCGGTTGTGGTTTTTTCAAGACATATTTAAAGAAACATAGGCCAACAATCTGCTGTTTAAACATTTCCAAATCTTCTCAAATGCAATTTAAAGTTTACCCAGAGGAAGGGAAAGCTTTGACTAGTTATTTCCCCAGCTGGCTAAATTTGCTATGGAGAAAAACTCTCAGTGGAGAAATATTTGTTTATTAAAAACAAAGACAGACCCCCAAGCTGTAATTATTAAAAAGGAAAGTAAAATGGATTTTGAAACACTTTCTAAACCTTTTCAGAGCAAAGCTGCTTTCTCTGCCCTTGGTAAGGTCACAAGCCAAACACTATCTTTCAGTGGCTTTGAGAGCTCTAATCCTTCAGCTCATAGGAATGCTGGGTGCAGAAATCTCCATCATACTCCCAAAGGACCTCAGTAGAGCTTTGCAGTCTCTTTACGTAAGCTTAGCCTACTGCATCTCCCCATCTTGTTGAACTCAAAATTTAAGGTTTTATGGGATTTCTTGGCACAGCTTTTTTTCACAGAGGATCAAAGCTAGGTTCCCTCTCCCCTACCCCTCACCCAAAACAAGGTGTTCACTTTCCCATGCACATCGTAATCAGCAGCTTGGGGAGCTGACAGCACTACTGATAGAGCTGGGGTTGGGTTAGGAACACTGGGGAAAATTTGGTTTTAAAGAGAGATTCTTTGGTCCTTCACATTGTAGACGATAAGGGTTCCCAGTAGAAGCTCCCAATGGTAAGACTCAGGCTTTAATGCTGCTCTCCATCTGAACTGCAGCACAATCAGTGATTTCTCTGTTCACCTTCACTAAAGTAGCACAACTACAGGCCATACACGTCAGCACACCACGGTCCCCTGCCAACCCAAACACGGCCAGGAAGGCTCACAAGCCATCTGCTTCAGAATGGCAGGCCATCCACCCTGCCCAGGCACACAGCAGGGGCAGAAGGGCTCAGGAAAACATGCTGAGTTTGGACCTCCAGTCCTGGGACCCAGTCCCACAACCTGGCCCCAATCCTTGATGAGCCTGGGAGCACCTCCATGGAGCCAGCACAAACAGGCTTGAGTTTCAGGAGCCATGAACCCATCCCCTGGCTCAAAGGCCATAAACACTGATGGTCTGAGGGCAGGGAGGAACATGGCTCTGCATCCACTTCTGTATGGGGTCAGTCAGGGATTTAAGCTGTGATGCAGCACAGAAACACACTTCCCTTGTCTAGTCCTCCACTATCAAGCCTGAAGTACTGACAAAGAGATTAGCCCAGCCTCAGCACAAGAAAGTAAAATTATATATCAGTGGTCCCCCCCAGCATAATTCAGAAAACCTCTCAGGGCACATAATTCTGCTGGAGCAACACACATTCATTATGCCACAAAAGCGGTGTCCACAAAGAGGGGCAAGATGTGGTCCTCAAAAGCTTTTATATGACATACTGAAGCCCTCGCTTAAAGTGGCCATCCGTCTTTAGCCTAGCTGACCAACCAGAGCTGAGTGTGGCCCTAAACTTGGCTGAGGGCTGTCCTGGGTTGATCTAGCAAGGTTCAGAACAACATGGGCAACGTTGCTGGGTCATTTCCTCAGCAACCTCTGCAACAAGCTGCATGTCTCTGGTGAACTCTCTCACACAGCCTACAGGATTTAGAAGCTTATTAATGCAAGTTTCATTCACTATCCACTCAACCACACACAAACTTGGAAGCTATAAATCTAATTGTGGAACAAGCAAAGTGTGAAAGTTTGTCAGTTTTCTCATTAAGTTAGGAAAGACTGAGCCATCATTGAGAATAGTTACTATGAAAAATTGGCTGTAAGCCACTGTGGAAACTGGGAATGCAAAGGAATCAAGAAGAGGGGATGACAAAAGTCTCAATTTTCTCAGGTTTCCTGAATTTAAAGCCTGGAGGTAGGAGTCAGTATCAATGGATAAAAATCGTAACCCCAGGCTACTTAACTGGATACATCAGAGATGAGAAAGAAAAGACATATGAGTTGCTCAGCATTTCTGACAACCTAAACAAAAGTAAATATGGCCTTATTCAGCCTTCAGAGTAGTTGGAGAAGCACAAAATTCACTCTAAATTCTTACAACAGGTAAAAATAATAAAAAAAACCCAAAACAAACAGGAGTATTTGCAGTCAAGGGTAATTACCAATGAACTCAAAAGCCTCTTCAAAATACTGCCTGAGATTCTGCTTGTTGCTGTCAGTGGCCGGGAGCCGCTTGTAGTTGAACATGCCTTTCTCGTAATGGTACAGGGGCAGGTGGGTGGTCACATTAATTACGTAGCCTATGTTCATCCTCTGCATTTTCTCCAAGTCCTGAGCATCATGCTCATTTCCGAGGAAGAGGAAGGGCAGGATGGGGGTGAGCTCAGCGTTCTCGATGTCTGGCGTGGTGGGGATGGACTGAGGTAGCATGGGGGGCACAGCGGAGGCACCGCCCCCTCCTCCCCCCTCCGGGCACTCTTGCAGCTGGAGGGAGTTATCGCAGAGGTTTTCGTGGTTCTGCTTGAAACCGCTGAGTCCTCCTGGGAAGAGAGACCAAGCAGATATTTTGGTTAGATACCCCAAGGTGGCAACACTTTGGATCCACCTTTTTTCAGAGCACATGCTGGGACCACCAGGACTGGAGCTGGCTCTACTGTCCCCACTACCACTGTCACAGTGACCAATGCTGTGCCATCAGCAGCAAGGGTAGCACAAATCAGCAGCAGGCATTGTCCTCCCCTCTGCGAGGCACACAGTGCCAAGGGACAGGCTCACAGACAAACACGCCTCTGTGCAACATCAGTGTGCTGGGGCTGCCTCACCTACCAGCCTGTGAGAGAAGGAAGGTATTTTTTCAAGAAGGAGAACATCATCAAAACTAGGGGCAAATGGCCTATTAGCACACTAAAGCGAGCAGCAAGCCAGCTGGGACAGTCTTCGCTTTACCCGTCCACAGCAGATTTGCCTGTGGGAGCAAGCCCTGCAGGGCATCCCCCCATCCAACACCTCTGAGGATGGGTGCAGCTCACCCCGGCATCGCTCCAGGGAACAGTACGTACACATTTGTGCACCCGAACAAAAGAAAACCACTCGTTGTAACCTAACAGAGACTGAGGTGCTTGCTTAACATGTGGCAAACAGCTCTCCTTTTGCTGCCCCGGCTGCATGAAAATATCTAGCAAGAGCTATTTTTAGGACATTAATATGGATTGGAAAATGAATCTGAGCAGGGAGGGAGAAGTCACTTCTTAAACTCATGCCTCCCCTGACTCTATTGCGTGCCTTGCTGGCTTTTTCAAGCACCATCTCCCTCCCCCTCCATTTTTTTTTTTTTTTTTGAGGAGGGTAGCTTTGCAGAGCTGGAGCAAGCAAAGGGAACCTTCTTTCTACACCTCATTCGGGAATGACATCAGCCCCAGGCTCCCCACCTGCCTGGTTTCCATAGCGATTACACAAAGCACACAATGACATCAGCTGGCATGACATCAGCTCTTTGAGTGCAAACAATACAAGAACTACTACTTTGTGCGAGGCCTTTGGTAGGAGGCAGTGGCGTTCCTGGGAGCCGCTGATGTAATGCTAACAGGTGGCTCCTCCGAAAGAAAAAGGCGGAAAGAGGAGGAATGCAGTGATACATCCCCCCCCCACCTCGCCCGCAAAAGCGCACGTTGCTGTTGTACCAGGACACTTGAAGTCATGCTCCGCACTGAGAGGAGCCAAGTGTTCAGACTCAATTGCACTTTGTTAACTGCAAGCCAAAAAAAACCCAGGAGGGGGGAGAGTTACCCTGAAGTTACTAGAAAGAGCTACACTAGCCAAAATAAATGCTGAATGTCACCATCCCAATAATGTTATTTAAACAGAAAAATAAAATAAAATTAAAAAAAATAAAAGACAGGCTATTTGTCTTTTCCATGCTCTTTCACAGTGATCTAGTGAAGGTTTAAAACAAAGAAAAACATGCTGTCACTCAGGCTCTGGATCAGACACAGCAAAGGGCTCCAATGCCTACACTTTGAGTGCTGGAATTCTAATGTCTGTGACATACCTGCCCATAGGGTAGTACCCAGCCAGGGCCATTTCAGCACCCTATACTGTACTCCATGGGCACAAGGCACCCAGACTACGCTACAACCGTCTGAGCCCCTCTAATACATCCAGACTCCTATCCTTCACACTCCGCTAGTAACTCATTTTCCCAGAAATCTTTGAAATGTCTACAAAATGTAGAGTATTTCCTCTTCCCTTGAAAGTGTGCTTGTCTTCAGCTGTTTCTGCTGTTTACAGGACACAGAGGAAACAGTTTTGCCTTAAGGATCTGTACTCTGAAAATTGTTACAACAAGGGATCAGGGGAGAAAGAAGAAGCAAGGACAAAAATCTGAGCTCAACTGCCAACTGCACCACATGGCCTCAACGGGATCTGAAAAGTCTTCTCAATCCACTCAAGAAAACAAACAAGACAATGGTCTCCAAGCTGAAGATGTCTGAAGTCTCATCCAAACCAACAGCCCCAGCCTAGAGTCTGGGCTAAAGGCTAAGCCCTAACCCACATTCCCATCCTTCTACGTAGGCAACCAGTCCATTCAGCTTCAATACTGCCGTTTGAACAATAACCGGAGCATGCTGGGATTCTCAGGAAAACCCCTGAAAAAGTTGCTTTAGAGGCCCAGAGCTAATGCTCATTTTCCACCTCTCCTGCAGGCTTTAGGGAATAGGCAGCTGGAGGTAGGATCCTATTGTTTCATCACTAAGGTGGAGACACACTGATGGTGTGGCAGACACCATCCTGTTTCACCAGCTGCCTTGTAAGATACAGCACAGCTGGAGAGTCTAGAGCAAGTTCTTTCCTCACCACCCATGTCCTACTCTCAGGTCCTCTGCCTGCCCCACTGGCCAGAAGACACTATTACTGCTGCTACCAACTCTTCCTCACTGTGAGCTTTGGTCCAGCAAATGACATGGAGGAGAGATTAAGAGACCATTACATTGGGCAGGGCTCCTCTGTTATCACTGCACTTAGAAGAAATCAAGAGGTGTAGGGCAATCCCCACCACTCTAGCAACAGCATCAGGACAAAGGATGGGAAGGAGACCCCAAATACAGCATGTGGAAGATGCACAAACAAGTGGAGTAGCTAAATATATAATAGCTTCACCCACAATTTCTTTCCAGTACATTTGCCAGTGGTCACTATTCCTAAAGTCATGCCACATCCCCCATTCTCCTTGTTCACCTCCTCATGTGGGTGGGGAGTTAAAAAGTTAGTTCAAGGAATATTTAAAGAATCATACCCAAGCAACTCTCAGAGCAAATGTCCCTGAAAGAACACATTACTGTGGAGAGGATTACTAACCTGAACTGGCTCAGACATGTGAACAAGTGAAGACTGCACAAGAACAGTGGTTTCAGAAAGAAGGCAGCAAGATGCAGTTACAAAGAGAAACTGAACCCTCAGTTCAGGAGGAGCTGAGCTTGGATCTGCACTGCCATAATACTTAGTTTTTCTAAAGTTTACAAGATTACTTCCTGAAGCAGGTCCAAGTAAAGTTAATTATGACCAGTCAGAAAGAGTAAAAGAGGGATAGACTTTACACATGAAGGTAAATACAATGTACAGGCTATTCAAATGCATCTGTATTCCTTTGTCAAGAAGCTGCTATTTCAGCACTTAAAGTCTTCATGTAGAAGGGGTAGAGGAGGTGGGAGAGGAGGCCAACACATAGTTCCTGCAAGCCTGGTCTAAGAGTTGATTAATTCAACTCAGTAAAGTCTAAGACGTATCACTGCTGCTGACCACAACTCCAGATAACAAGGAAGCTCAAGGCATGGATGCAGAGACTCCACTCGTGCTTGTAACAAAAGCTGTTTTGTGGCTGACACTGCCCAAGCCTTCCCTACCCTGGGGCATGAAGGAAGCATTATACAGAGCAGTAACAGTGACTATGGCCAAGAGGCACAGCCTAGCAGAAGCTTCTCTCTAGCACAGAGATAAGCTATATTTTAAAAGCAGCTTTTCAGATGGTGCAAAAAGCCTTCATCATATAGGGGAAGCCTAAGTAAAGAAGCAATATAATATATATCCACCATGAAAGCCCATCAGGATGCAAAGCAGTGCTGTTTGAACCACAGCCACAGAGCCTAGACTCAGATGTGCAGCCACCTTCAGTGACAAACCAAAATGCCAGCAGCCAGATAAGCCACCAATGTTCATTTCAACACAATGTCACGCTCATAGCCTGTCTCTTCTGCCTTTAAACATGCCACACAGCTGTAATAACCAAAGCACAGCAAAAAGCCTAAACTGCTCAGTCAGTCTGATGCAGCCCACATGCGGGTGCAGAGAACATCCCAAGTGTTTTTGTGTACTCTCTGCACCAAAATGGCAGCTGGGCAGGCGTTTAGAGGGGCTGAACCTACCAATATCCAAACAAAGATGGACATACAAGGATGCTCGGCACTCTGGGGAACCCAAGGTATTTCTTGCATAAGGAAATGAATCAATGAAGCAGGACCCTTCTTGGCAGATGGCCTTGCCTGGTATCTAGCAGGACACAACATAGGACTGAGAGCTCTTGCTCGCCACTGACACAAAAACCAGGTATTTTTGCAGTTATAACTGCATGTCATCTTCAAGCATCCTACCCTGCCAGAACAGTTGGTGAGTGACAACAGACTTCTGATTGTCTGAGACTTCAAAACTTTTAGGAAGTTCCAAGTCAGCACCGGACGTGCTCCAGCTACTCACACTTGCTTGTTCGAGTTCTTCGCAGCCATCGGCCCATAAACATCTTGCTTAATGCTCCTCAAACTCCCCCGCTGAGCAGCACCCAGGCAGCAGCTGCACACAGATTTCCTAGCCCCAAAGCCATCCAGAAGCCCAAGGCTTGCACCAGCACTATGAGACCAGGTGAGAAGCGGGACAGGAGCCAAAGCAGCTCTGAACAAATGAAAAAAGACAAGCAGCATGGTGCTTGCACAAAAATCATGCTAAACACAGTGTCTGTCATTTGCCATCAGAAGAGGGCAAATACAATGCAGAGGAGGCACAAAAGGTAGATCAGGAACTAGGCAATCAGCTTTTGTGAGGGACTGTAACCCTGAAATAGAACCATCTTCAAAGAAAGCAAGAAAAACAAACCTTACCTGTACACATTTATAAAAAGGATTGGTTGGTTGGCAGTTTGTTTATTTGGAGGTTTTTTTTGTTGTAGTTGTTTTGTTGTAGGTTTTTAGTTTGGGGTTTTGTTGTTTGCTTTTTGAGAAGGTTGAGAATTAAGTACAAGGAGTACAGTAACACCTGCCCTCCTCCTCTGTCTCTCCTTTGGCACCTCCTTCAACCACCACTGCTGCTCTATAGCTGTGTGACTATATGCAAACTAGGATGTGGGCTTACAATATGCTTTGGGAGATCTGCAATATGTTTCCTATCTGGAAATGGGCTCTTACCCCACAGTCAAGGGAGTAAACGACCTTGTTCCCTCTGCAGTGACAGAGCTTACAGGGAGGCAGCTACAGTGAAATGCCCTCACAATAAAGCA